AACTCATAAAAACAGAGAGCAGAATGGCAGCTACCAGGACCAAGAGGGTGGGGGAATTGGTGAGATGTTGATTAAGGGTACAAACCTGAAGCCAGTAGATAAATAAGTCCTGGAGATCTAATGCACAGCATAGTGATTATAGACAACAAACCTGTACTATAAACGTCAAAGCTGCTATGAGACTAGATCGTAATTGTTCCCACCACGAAAAAGGAATAATTGTGACGCAGTAGCTAACACTACGGTGGTAATCATACGGTGGTAATCAAATGTATCAGATCAACACGTTGTATACCTTAAACTTACACCTTAAACTTACAAATGTTATATGGCAATTATATCTCAATAAATATAAATTTTAAAATAATAAAAACAAATAAAAAAATACGACTCCGTTTATATGGAGCCCCATAGGATCCAAATGGAATCTGTGATGACAGAAAGCAGACCCTTGGTTGCCTGGGGCTGAGCAGTGGGGGGTTTGACTCCGAAGGGCCCCACAGAAATCCCTACTTTCTGGAGTGATGGAAATCAACCCTTTTTTGATTGTGGTGGTGGGTACACAGGTGTGTAAATTTGTCAAAACTCATAGAAAAGTACACTTTTGTATGCATTCTATTGTATGTAAATTATACTGTTTTCTCACCTGAAAAAAAAAAAAAGACTAAAGTGGTACTGCTCTCAGAGGGTTACTGCGACAATTAAATGAATTAAGGACTATAAAGTGCTCAGAATAGCACCTGACACAGGGTACATATGCGAGTATGTGCTGTTACTTGTTTACAATTATTGAGCACACCATCTTACAGCCTAAAAAAAAGAACAAAACCCTGTTCACATCATTAACATTTTTCCGTAAGCTCTTGGAAGTTGTGGGTAATTAATCTCATATCATAGCCTAATTAAAGCGTTTCATGCTGAAAATAACCTGGATTTGTTTCCTACTCTCTGCCATCTCTCCTGGAAGAGGACATCTTAGATGTCACTCCTTCTCTCTCTCACAAGAATTATTAAATGCTGATTCTGTGTCATATCCAAATTTGACTCTCTGTAATCTCTACCATACAGATAAAGAATTTATGGCTCAGAGACAGCAGATGACTCAGGGTCACACAGCTAGTGAATAGCAGAGCTGAGATTCAAGCCCAGGTCTGTCTGGTTCCATGCTCCATGCTCTCTCCTCTGCTGCGGCTTCTGGCAAACAGGTCCATTTTGAGGCTCCGCGTGTGTGTCTTGCCAAAAGAACTAGCCCCTGAAGGGGCTATGGTATGACACAGTTTGTGCTGGCCTCAAAGGGGCCTTCTTGAAGCAGCTGACAGGTCACTGCTGAGAGGGCAGTACCATCCAGCCTGTCCCCTGGGCTCTCAGTTATCACTAATCCTAACACAGCCCCCATGCTCTGCACAACACCAGGTCTCTAGAAATGCCACAGACTGATGGCAGGTTCCCATGACACTCAGGGACACCAGTCAGCCCTAGGCTCTGTGCTTCTCCTAGCTAGGTGGACAACAGAGGGCCCCTGAAATCACACACAGGTACCTGCCAGCCTTCCCGCCACCTTCCTGGGTCCCTGCTATGCTCACAGCTATAGCTTGGCTCAGTGGCATTGGGTGTATGAAACAAATAGCACTGGACTTAGGGCAGGCACCCCCAATTTCAGATCTGGGCACTGCCACTTGCTAGCTCTATATCTCAGGCAAGGTTACTTAATCTGTCTGAGACTCAGTTTCCACTATCAGCTTCACAAAGGTCGTCAAGGGTAAATAAAATAATGATCAGAAAGCATTATCCAGGCCTGGCACCGAGCAGGCCCTTAGGAAATGTTAATCAACTGTGCTGAGGCCACAGGAGCAAGTAGTGGGGTGGGGACTAAAAATCCCTCTTGGCTATCGACTAAGGACGTCATACTGGACATGTGGTTTGTTTTATAATCTCCCTCACTGCTACATGCAGATCCTTGAGGGAACATGGGGCCTAAGACCGAGTGATCAGGAAGAAAAATGAAGCTCTTTATGGAGGAAGCATCCATTCATTCAACCACTCAGCCATTCAACAAACATTTATGGAACACCTGCCGTGTACCAGACCCTATGCTGGGCTCTGGGTGCTCAGCAGTGATCAGGGCAGATGAGGCCCCACTCTAGGGAGGTCCCCACTGTGTGAAGCTCACATTTTAGTGATGGTGACAAGAAACTCATACATAACTGGATCTAAGAAAATAGCTCCAAGACCTCTTAAGTGCCTGAAGGAAAATAAACATGGAATGAGAAGTGGAATAGCAGAGGAGCACTTAGTTTAGATAGGGGTTTTGAGTAAGGTCTCTCAGAGGTGACATTTAAGCTGAGACCCAAAAGATGGGAAGGGGCCAGCCCATCCAATAGCAGAGGGAGGGTGGCTGTAGGTGGAGGGAACAGCAGGTGCAAAGACCTGAAGGTAGAAAGGGTGTGGTGTGCTCCAGAGGCTGTGAGATCAGCAGAAGTTCTTATGAAAGGACTGATGCCTTCCACCAGGAGAGCAGAGCAAGTGGTTGGGGTGGAAAAAGCCTAAGGCAGAGGGACAGGAGCCCTGTGATCACAGGGCCCATGGTGAGGGGGTCTGGGTTTATTCTAAGCCATTGAACTTAAGCAGGACGCCACCTGATGATGGACGGCACGGGGAGAAATGGAGAGCAGTGTACATACTGGAACTATACTTTGAAGGGAGAATCAGCAAGGCTGGTCATAAATATCTAAGATCAGAATCCTAAAGTGTCAGAGCTGAAAATAATCTTACACGCATCAAGTTTACCGCCCCCCCCCTCCATTGTTATAGAAGGGGAAACTGAGGCCCAGAGAGGGGCCATGGCCTAAGCAAGGCCATAGACGGAGCTGGGCCTAGAATCCTGGACTACCAGGGCGGTCCGTGCCTGCGGAAACACAGGTGAGAGGGTCTGCTCTCCGTGGACTCCCCCTATCTGAGTGCGCTCACACAAACGTTTACTCTGAAAACAAAGGCAGCGACCCCCGTGGAACACAAACATCTGCCCGAGGTGTATGTGAAACACTGCACTTTTCTTGAGAAACGGAAGTCTTGGCTTTTTCCCTCTGCAGTTCCGGTGAAGGTTCTGGAAAGGCACAGACCTATCCTGAAATTCAGGCCATATCGCCAGGACAAAACTAAAGGCGGAGCCAGTCATGACGGAAGGCTGCTGATGGAACCGCGCTGGTAAGGTGGAGCCTCCTCGCCCCTTCCCCACCCACCACCCCTGTCTCCAGGCTGCTGATGGCACATTACCCAGAGCCCACGCTGGTAAGGGGGTTGAGTAGAGCAGCACCAGTGTTTATGAGGAGATGGCCATACTCGCCAGCAGCAATCCTTACAGACATTTCTTTTTCTACCTAATTTGCCCCTAAGGAGCTATTTCGAACCCACCACAATCAGTTGCCCTCTAGCCCTGTTGTTCCCGTAGGTCCCTGGGAGCAGTGCTTCCAAGCTCTCCCTACCCAGGCACCAGCCAGAGAGGCTGGCCTGACCTCTCCGACCTGCTCAGTGGAGGGGGTCTCCTCCTCCCCATAGGCAGGTCCTGAAGCCCTTCCCCTCTGAACCATGGCCAGGCCTGACGGTGGTTTGGCAGGGGGCTCTATCCCTCCCACATAGAACTGCTTTTCCCTGCTGAGGACAGTAAGCTTCAGGGCTCCTATTTTTCTGGGATCAGCAAAAATTCTTTAAAAAGGACCGATGTGTTTCACTGTGAGAGCAAGAGTGTGAGGCTAGCAGGAGCCCGGCGTCCAGGGGAGCGCTCCTGAAGACTCCTGGGAAGGTGGGATACGCAACATCTCGACAGCTCTCCCAGGAGCTGGAACCCTGAGTACCTCATCCAGGCCCCCCACCCCCCCACCCCAATCTGTGCCCAGGGGCCTCGACCTGCAAATTTGAAAACAGCAGGCTGAGCTTTTCTCAGAGGAAGCCTGTGTGCCTCAAACACCAAAGCTACCCGAAGAGCTAGTCCTCCCACTGGCTTTACAGCTGTCCCCTCAGTCTGCTGGCCTGAGAGCCCCATTAGGGCTGCTGTCCCATCACTGCTCCCCCAGCCTGTCAAAGGGAGCCTGCTCTGAACCTTTCTTTGGCGCGCCCATGAACCTCTATGTGCTCTGGGAGGGACCGATGCAGGAGACTTTTAAGATGACAGAAGTTGGGCTCCATCTTAGGGATTTGGGCACTGTTAGGTGCCATGGGGGGTACAAAGATGACTAAGATGGGATGGCCCCTTCTCCCTGGCAGTCTTCACCTGGCCAGGAAGTTAAGGCACAGCTTGGATATCAGAAGGCAGGGTGTCTGATAGATGGGCCCAGGGGAGTGGCCTGAGCTAGACTAGGGCAGAGGGCTGGGCACTCAGCCCAGGCTCTGCCCAGGATGGTCTGGGTCAAGACCCTGAGGATAGAACATTCCAGAAGGAATGCCAGCATGGCCTTGAGAGAGGCCCCTAAGTAAGGCATCCTAGGAAGAAATCAGCCAGCCTTTAGAAACCAGAAGGCTTCCTGGAGGAGGTGATCTACACGTGAACAAGGGTGTGGACTGGTAACTGCTGGGGCAATTCAGGGGAGCAAAGGCACTAGGGCAAGGCGGTATAGGATGCGGGGGGGGGGGGGGGGGGGGAGGCCAGCTGGACTGGAGGCTCCCAGCAGGAAGTCAGAAAGGAAAGGCAGGGAAGGCTTCTGGGGTGAGGCCGAGACCGGGAGAAGCACCTGGGCTGTTGGTGGAGCTAAGGCCTGAGAGCCTAGGGCAGGTTGCTGAGCTGAGCTGCCCTTCCATGGGGTGGGAGGGATATTCAGGGTGTCCCAAGGCGGCCAGGGACACAATGGTAAGCAGTGACTGGGCCTCTGTCCCCAAGTGGGTGGCAGGCCCAGGAGACTGAGCCAGGAGAGAGCAGCTTCCCACTGTGGGTTAAAGGACATCTGCTTTTGCGAGACGATGAGCCACTGGACATGCCTGAGCCACTCAGGGCTCAACTACATGGCCTGCTACAAAAGAACGTGTGGCAGCTGCCTACAGGACGGCAAATAGGAAGCCACGATGTCTAGTCCCTGCCCAGGAGCACGCAGCCACCCGGCATGAAAGACAGTCATTCAGGAAGGTCTCTGCTGCCTTCCAAACTGCCCGGGCTTTGGGGAGATGCCCTCTCCTCCATGAGCGTCTAACCCACGGGGCAACACAGGGCTTGCCTGTGAGCAGAGATGGGAGGACAGACAGCGAGGGCCTCTGTTCCAAAACAAACAGCATGCTGAGGCGACACCGACCATGCCCTTCTTTATCTTGGCAATCTCATGCCCACGCCTAAATATAGACGCTTGGGCAGCACAGGCATCTGCCTGCTGCCACAGAATCGGCACGGTCCAGCTTACAGCAGAAGGGCACAGTGTTAAGGCTCCAGAAGCTTTTCACTATGTGTTGCTGGAATCTCAAGTTCCTTTCTCGTTCAGATTGAACAAACGTCCTCGGCTGCAGGTAAAGATGACAGAGGGCACAGCCATGCCAACTGGGCAGCTATGCAGCTTTTCACCAGGGGGGAGGGGACGGCACAGAGCCCCATGGTCCCAGCCTGAGGCTTTCCTCTAGTCAGTACTTTTCCAGCCCAGACAGCTCGAAAGGGCCACAATTCTTAACTTTTACTTTGTGGCTCAACATCTGCAATGCTGGGAAACCTGGGCCTCACGATGTGCTCCAAGTTTTTTTAATTGGCCATCACTTGAAAGAGCTTAACATGTTAAGAGCAGAAAAGAAAGGGTAGTTTGTTCTCTTTATATATATTTTTAAAAATCCACTTTATAAACAATTCAGAGTTTTCTGCTGCTTGTTTTTTCTTCCCCCCCATTTTTCTCTTTTTCTTGGTTTGTTGATAAACAACAGGCACTATGTTCGGGCTGCATTTTGGTTCACGGAGACGGAAGAACAAACGTGGCTTCAAAAAAACATCTTTAAAGAATCAGCTTCGTGGATTCCCTCCCATCTCAGAAAGTAGTTTAATGACAGTTTTTAGTCATTTCAGAAAAGAGTTTCTGCTTCAGTGTATTTATGTAATTTAAATGGCTGACTGTTTTTACAGGATGGGGTTTTTTTCTCCGGTCCCAAAGTACCCTGAGAAGAAAGAAAATCAAAGCTCGTTTCGGGAACAACATCGGACCCAAGCAGAAGAAAAACGGAAAGCAAGCTAATGTATGGGCCTAACTCTTTAAAATCACACTTAAAAATCACTTTATCTTTCTTAATAAATTATTGCAAGCTGGATTGGGGAAAAATCACTCCAGAGAAGGTTTACAATATAAATAAACGCTAAGAGATCATTTGCTTTGTTTTTGTTGGCGTGGGTCTCGCTGAGTTTAAATGAACATGCACAGTGATGATGAAAGGCGCCGGGGAGGAGGGCTGGAGGGGGGGGGCAAACAGCTCAGTGTGGCCACCAGTGATTAGAGGCTCCCAGCCCAATAAGCCTTCCAGCCCCTGCAGGCGGGAGAGTGAGAGGGAGGGAGGGAGGGAGAGAGGGAAAGAGGGAGAGAAGGAGAGAGAGAGAGAGAGAATGAATGTGTGTGTGTAGGGAGGGGCGGGGGGGGGCGTGAGGGTGAGCTGTCTTCTCTGCCCTCTGACCCACAGGAGGTAGCAATTCCAGTTCAAGGACTCCAGGGTGAAGAGCCCTGCGTTCTGCTCTGCCCAGAGCCACCCGCCCCAGGCTGCCCGTCTCGGACCCTCCCTCCAGTCTTTCCCTCTCAGGCTGGGGCCTGCTCTGCCCCCAGCCCCTCTCAGGAAGGCTTCCAGGTGAGCATCCTGGTACCCGGGGTGTATGTGAGCCCACGCTAACCAACACCGAGGGCTAGGGAGCGGTATACAAATGAACAACTCAGCCACCACCAAAGCCCTTTCACTCTATTAACAAAGTAACTCATTTTTCCTGCCTGCCGACTGCTGTCAGGCACTATGGTAAACACGACTCACTGTTTTCTAGGTCCATTCTCACCTCATGGGAGACGTTCTCATGAACTTTGGGGAAAGAGCCTGTGTTCCTAACCCCCACTCTCTCTCTGTCCCTCCGACTCAGCTCTCCGCCTTCCTCCTCTCTGACGCCTCCCAGCACTCTGCGCTTCTGGCTTGTTCACTGCAGAGGAAGCGCTCCTTCAGATCAGTGTCTGCAGCATCTCACACAGTCAGTGCTCAGCACTGTAAATAAATGCTCAATAAATCATGCTCAAGACATGCTTGTCGAATGAGAGGATGAAAGGACAAGCCCCCTCTTAGCAGTGAATCACAGTGTAAATTCTCTTGTAGAATAATTCCGAATCTCAAGTACCCTGAGGGCAGGACCCTCCATCCTGTGGTGCCCCCAGGCCCTCAGTGTCCAGCACGGGAGGCTTAGTGACAAATGGTCTGTCTGTTGGCATAAAATGCCATCGTTTCGGTTCTCTAAGTCTTAACAAGTGGTCAGTTTCTAAGTGATGATTCTGGGGAAGATCAAATAATTAAATTTGATGATTAACTTAATTACACCTGATACCAGCCAAGTGTTTAGAACTGCTTGGCACACAACAGGCTCTCCATAAATGTTAGCTGCTGCTGCTGCTGCTGCTGCTGTTATTAAGCCATTTTTAGCTATTTAAGAAACTTCGAAATGCTCTGCTGTCAAGGTGGAGCTTAGGGGGAGCCAACACACAGATCTGTGGACCATTTGGTTGTCCCTTTGGCTTAAGGACATTTACAAGTGTGTGAGTGCTCTTGGTGCCATCCATCCAGCAAAGAACGGGTGCAAGGAAGTGGGGTGTGCCTGTGAAGAAGGTGCTTGGCCTCTCAGGCGGGTCTGCATCCCACCCCATTCTCACACAGTCTGGGAGGTAAATGCTAAGCATGAGGTGAGAGTGAGGTATCCTCCTGTTTTTAGGTCCCCCCACCTCTCAGGCTAACAGGACAGGAGTCTAAATCCCTGTGCTCACACTCTTCCTTGCCGCCCCCACCACCCTCCCCGACATCTGCATGTGCTGTGTACCTCGCACAGCACCACCCTCCCCTCGAGTGCCAGGCTGGGTCAGGACAACCATGTTAGTCTCTCAGTTATTTAACTGTTAGCTGAGAGCACTGGGGAGATGACACCTGCCTGCCTCACTGCACAGTCCTGTGCTAAGGGGACCCTTGCTGGCAACGTGGGAGAGAAGGCAGTCCTCATTTTAAAGAGTAAAACAAAGGGTTAGTATTTGTTATTAAGAAGAATGGGAGAGACAAAGGTCATGGCTAAATGGGGGTCACTGACAGAGATGGAGGTTGAGAGGGTAGTGGTGACTTCAGAGGAGGGGGCACAGTTCACGACAAGGTCCAAGTTGGGTGCCAGTTGGAAAGAATTTGGATGTTTCTTGCATTTCTGCTTTCAACTAAAGCAAATCATTCCTTCATAATTCAGCACCCTAGTTTCTCCGAAAAACTGATGAAAGGAGGTCTGGAAGTGACTTCTGGGCCAAAATGCAGCTCAGATCACTATGGCTCTTTAAAGAGGTTTACCTTAAAGCGTTCACCACGTGGACTGGCACCACGTTCAATAGAAGGAAGTGTGCAGATGCACACCCTGTACTTTTTCGGCTGGGAACACGCCGCTGCTTGCAAGGCTTCGCTCTCCCTGTGAGCTGCTCTGACAAATGCATTAATTGTACAAAGCAGACAGAGTTTGTTTAGTCATGTCTGCTGAGGTGGGGAGGATGTTGCCACACATCTGAGCTGGCTCTTTCTGCACAGGGCATCTAGGCCTCAGGCCTCTACGCCAACACCCTCTGGCCAGAGTGAGAGGCATCGCCACAAAAGCCAATGGTGCACCTGCTCCACCGCTTTCAAATTAAAAAGAAGTCAGCATGAGAGAGTGAGAGAGAGAGAGAGAGGGAGAGAGAGAGATTGTTTATGGGCTCTTTCTCTCTCATCAGGAGAGGGCAGTGAGGCTCAGTCATCGTGAGGGTAAGAACAGGAGAGCAGGTGCCTGAAGCTGACTGAATGTCACAGAGCCATCTCGGCCTCAGCACCCCAGGGTGGAAATATAAACTCCTCAGCCACCGAATATGACCCTCGGGCTCTTCAATCCCAGCCTTCCTTCTACCTTCTTCACGTGCCCTCTTGTCCAACTATCCTGGCTAGTTCCCACTGTCACCTGGATGTACTGCTCCCAGTTTTCAACCATGCTTTCAATGCAGCGTTTCTCTTACCTGAAATGTCCCCCAGGCACCCTTTGCGATTCCTACTTGTTTTGCAGAAAGCCTTCCCCCACCTCTCTCGTCCCCACTGACATTCTGACTAGTTACGTAGTTATGAGACCAGCAACATTTAATTTATGACTTCTGCATGTCCCTGAATTGTGATTACATTCTTGTAATGTTGTTTTTAACCTTCTACATGCACTTCGATTGTGTTGACTGGACTGGACATTAGGCTGTGATGTCAGAGACAAGCCTTTTTTACTGGAGTCTCTCAGAGTCTCTGGTGGCAGCTGGCACAAAAGAGGGACACGGCTGCCTGACTTACTAGATAGGCTGACTGTAAGCTCTCAAAGGCAGGACAGGTGACTTCAGTATTTGTAAGGTATGTGCCATTAGAACTTGGATATACCTGGACTCATAAGCACTGTCTGCTACTTGCTGATTTAATAACAACAGCTCAGTAAATATTTGTTGAATGAAGTCAACATTCTTGTGAGCTGAAAACAAGATTCAGTACAGGAAACCTTGCCTTATGAAAAGATTACCTTCAAACTAGAAAAGTAAGCAGAACCTCACTTCATTACTGTGTTCGTTTTCCACCTACGCATATTCCCAAAGTCCCCCAAATGAGAAGGCAACAGAAAGCCCAAAACTGAAGTAGAAATGACTGCATGGGCGATCTTTGGGCAGCAGACAAAGTAAGGGAGATTTAATGATTCAAGCCAACAGGCAGGGAAATAGGATTCATCCCAAATCAGTTCACTGTTGCATTTCCGCATAGATAAGTGATAAATCTTAAAGCAGGAAGGTACTGCACTGTTTCCAATGCAAAGACCTTTGTAGGATAGACGTTTCTCAAGCTTTAATATGTTTGCTTCCTGATTAAACTATGGGGTTGTATACTGGAACAATCATGCTTATGAACACAAATTGCGGTGTTCCTTCCCATGCAATCTTGACACACACTGATAAGTGTTGTAAGGCATTTGTACAACAAAAAATAGTTCAGTACCACTGATACCCCAGGAATGGAAATTCTTAACTATGAGAAATAGTTATTCTGGGACAGGTGGAAGGAAATGGCACCATCTCAGGAATGCAAAGATGGTTTGACATAAAAAATCTAGTCATTTAATATACCACACTTCTAGTTTTTATAAGAGACAAAAGTTAAACATCTCAACAGATGTAGGAAATATTTCTAACATTCACTCAAAATTTTAATAAAACAACAAATCTGTAACCAAAGGGAGCTTCCTTAACCTAATAAAAGCTAGAGCAAATATCACAGACTTTAGAAGCATTCTCAGTAACATCAGGAATAATTCAAGAAATCTGCTATTAGTGCTTTGATCCAACATTATTTTTTGCAGCCTTAGCCAATGGGGAAAAGAAAGAAATGAAGTATACCAATTGGAAAAGAGAAGCCCAAACTATTGTTATTTGCAAAGATATGATAGTGTACATGGAAAACCTGAAAAAATTTTCAGACAAACTATTAAAATTAATAAGATAGGTCAACAATGTTTTTGGATGTATAATCAACATATAAAAATCAATAGCTTTGCTGTATACCAATAATAACAACATTTGAAAAAATGTAATAGAATCAGGGACGTTATTGACAATTCTATTGTTTATAAGTTAGCAACTTAAAAACAGTAAAAATGCTATAATAACAAGGGTTTCTTGAGTAAAGGTTATGGTCCAAGGTTACAAAATCTCATACCCTGCTTGTGAATTTGGGGAAAATAGCAGCAGCAATTCCATTTATATCAGCTTTGCATTTTTATCAGTTTACTGAGTGTGATATCGTGATATAACAAGAATATACTGAGTGAATGAAGAGTGACTGCTAATAGGTATGAGCTTTCTTTTTGCAGTAATAAAAATGTCCTAAAATTGATTGTGGTGATGGTTGCACAACTGTAAAAATACTAAAAAACCACTGAACCGTATACCTTACGAGGGTAAAATGTATGGTATGTGAATTATATCTCAATAAAGCTGTCATTAAAAAAACAACAAAAAGAACCAAAACAGAATTTTTCTAGCAAACACATCTTAGAATTGACTGTAAAATGTCACCTGCTTAATAAACTATTCCTAAAGGTAAGAAGTCTTTTTTCCCCCCGCTTTAACCTCATGACAATCTTTGGAAATATTGTTAGCTCCCTTTGGGCTTTATTTTATAGTTGGAGAGATAGAAACAGCGAGCCCAGATTGGCTTGGGAAAACTTCATGAAGAAGGGGAAACTTGAGTTGAACCTTGTTTACTCTAGAAAGTGGGGAAATCTAAAAGAAGATAATAGTACGGGAGGATAAAAGTTGACACCTTTATTTAAGAAGGAAGAAAGTGAATGAGATGGTTAGGCTGGAAACTCCAGGAAGGCAAGAATTCTTTCATCTGTGCCATCACTATCCAGTCAGAGTCTTGCTCAAAGGAAGGGCTCAGTAAATATTTGTTTAATGCATAAATAAGCAAGTGGATGAACAAACAAATACATATTTTCATCTTTGTTCCTGGTTCCTGGGCAGAGCTCCTAAAACCTTTGTAATTTCCTAAGTGATAAAGGTCTAGGAACATTTTTTTGTTTGTTTTAATATTTGGTCTTTGACCCTGGTTCCTGATGCAGAGCTCCTAAATTCCTTTGGAATATTCTGGATGACAGGAGCACCTTTTGTTCTAATGAGGTGACTCTTGGTGGGTTCCTGGAAGGCTCCAGAATTGGGGGCTGCTCACCAGAAAGACCAAGCCATGATTAGAAGCTTCGAACTCTCAGCCCCACCTCCCATCCTCTGGGGAGAGGACAGGGGCTGGAGACTGAGTTAATAACTGATCACGTCTATACAGGGAAACCTCTATAAAAAAATCCCCAAAGTACTTGGCTTTTGAAAGCTCTAGGGTTAGCGAACTCCTGCAGGTGCTGGGAGGGTGGCATGCCCGGAGAGGGCACGGAAGCTCTGCACTCTTTCCCCATACCTTGCCCTACGCGTCTCTTCCATCTCGTTGTTCCTGAGTTCTGTGAGCCATTCAATTAAACTACTAAACCTGAGAAGGGGGTCCTGGGAATTCTCAATTTGTTGCTAAGTCAGGCAAAGTTGTGGGTAACCTGAGGACCCACTACTTGCAGTTGGTGTCTGAAGTGGGGGGTTGGAGGGCAGTCTTGTGAGACTGAACCCTTAATCTGTTGTATCTGATGCTATCTCCAGGCAGACAGTGTCACAATTAAATTGAATGGTAGGATTCCCAGTTGGTGTCCCAGAGAATTGGTTGTTGTGGGAAAAACACCTACACATTTGGAGTATTCTGTGAGTAGGGAGAAATAGTTCTTCCTGTCACTGAGATTAATAAACTATCACAGTAGCATTTTAGACCCTCAAACTAATCTTGTGGTAGAGGCAGAATCTCTATTTTATATGCAAGGAAATAAAGGCTATAAAATTTCTCAGTACCTGGTCTTCTGATTTAAAAAATGGCTACAGGGGCCGGCTGAGTGGCACATTGGTTAAGAACTGGCTTGGGGCACCAGAGGGCCCTGGTTTGGATCCCACATATGAGGGCCAGTAACATTGCCCTCTACAGCTAAGATGCTGAACAATAGCTCAACCTGGAGCTGGGCTGCTGTGAGTCGCCGGCGACGGCGTAGGCTGCAGCCCCTGCTGCAGTGGGTTGCCATGGGCTACTGTGTGTAGCCAG